GTCATGCGCTGTGAAGGTCGTGGGTTCGTTCTTGCACGGCTGCGCCCTCAACCTTCAGTTCACGAGTATAGTTTTTACAGAGATCGCTGCGGAACGTTGCAGGAGCTACAAAGTTCCTGCTCTGCGCAGCGCATTTAGCAGGTGGCTAGCCGTTCCGTGGAGAGAGACCGAGCCATATATGATAAAACCCGGTCTCTCTTTACAGAACGTCCAGCCGCCTGCGGGAATCGTCACACAAAGCATGAACACCGTAGCTCCGGTGTCGCTCGCGGGGTTCTCTTTTAAAAAAATGGACGCGTGCACCAAAAGATGCAGCCGTGAAACGAAGGCACGACTTTTAGAGCGCAGACAAACTTCCCGACCACTTCGATACAGGGGAGACCAACAAATCCATAAGGCAACTGGCAGATGTGCCAAACCTCACTGTCCCACACGAGAATGTCCTTAAATTTAAAAGGTGTGGTTTCGGCGCTGTTCAAGCCAACACATCCTGTATCATAGTTAGTCGCATTTTACACGATCATTAGTGGCAGTAGATATTTTCTTCTTTTCCTCCGAAATGAGGTCGGGCAACTCACGCGGGAAAAGGAAGAACACGACCCAAAAAAATGGCTGCAATTAAACTCTCCTCCTTTACATACACACCGCTTCTGTTTCAATATCTTTGTGGCGTCCGCCTTCAATTTTGTTTTCTTCTAGTCACTGCTTCAGGCTACACGTATACCAACTGGTGCAATCCATTATGTTCAGTTTTTCGTTATTCAAGGTTGATCTGGGGGGGGGGGTGGAGGTGGGGGGGGGGGTGGAGGTGGGGGGTGGAGGTGGGGGTGGAGGTGTGGGGGGGGGGGGATAAAAACTCGTCAGTCCTTTCAAAATTGTGAAGACTTCACAAGCAAAGTAAAGATGCACAAAGCAGCTCTCAGATGTGCCAACACTAACTTTACCACTCAAGTATACCAACTGGTGCAATTATGTTAAAAGCACTGTCGATAGGAGACTCGCTTTCAAATCCATCTGCTACTCGCAGCAGCCCACGGCCGGAGTCTGAAACCGGACGGTTCCCGAGGTTCACTCAGCCTTTAGGTAATGGATACCAGAGCTAACACTCTGGGGTAAATAGAGAAACGTCGCTGTAGCTACGGAGTTTCATGCGGACGGCGACACATGCGGACATTTTCTTATTAACTGTCCGTACTGGTGGCAGAGCCCTTATGGTTTATAACCGTGTGCAATGATGCTAGTTCACATCTCTAGACTTTATTTATGTTCACTTATTCGTTATTCGGGGTTGATTTGGGGTGGGGGTGAACTTTTAAAAAACTGTTCATCTTAGCAAAATTGTTAAGAATTTACACACAACGTGAAGATGCACAAACCAGCTGTCAGATGTGCCAACAAAAACGGCACCACATCAAAATTGCATCTCACTTCTAGTGTAAACGGACAATCACAAAATTCCCCTAGCATCGTTTACTATCTATTCGCTTTCTCCGAAAGAACAGCTCAGCAATAAACATTCTGGCTTCAAAGTCAGGGCGCCCATACACTCTGACACACATAAAACTCGCACCCATTGAAAACTGTTAGGGTACTTGTACCTAACATCACACCAGAGAAAAACTGCCCATTAACAGCACATTAAAAGCCAATTTATCCGGCCGGTGTTTGGTCGTAAAAAGCCAATGTGGCAATTGTGGGTTGTGAAACCACACCCTGGGGGCGGGAGCCAGGTTTGGTGGGTTATGAGGTCCTTAAAAATTGCATTGATTGAGGGTATTCGTAGCGAAACGGTTTAGACTTTAACGTAGTTAGTCGAGGAAGTGGGTTTAGTTCTGAAATCGGTTCTTAATACGTTAGTCTCCCCCATCGAATCTAGGTCAACTCCATTGATAAGTTTGTTGGACTAGTCACGGCCAGCTCCAGTATATAAATCTGGAGCTGGCCGTGGACTAGTCTACCGTGGTCGAGGTTATGGGTGTCGCGGTCTCTTGTTGTCTTGCATTTACGTTTTTATTCAGAGAAAGAGATGGGATGTGATATAGGTTTCGTCACTCTCTATGAGGGTTGTGTATCTAAATGTTTTTAATAGTCTTAAAAGCTCTGGCATGGTGAAATATACAACACGCGATATCAGCGCCAGTGTGGTAAAGCCCCGTGACCTTGAGTGAAAGTCGGATCGCTCGAGGCTGGCCTATCAGAAGTGAGGTAGGCTGGAGGTCGACCAATCAGAGGCAAGCTAGTGTGTAACTGTGTAAATGGGGAGACCAACGTATAAATAACACCGAAATCTTCTCGCGTGGGTAGCGTGATTTCATGGTGCTGTAAAACAAAAAGAGATCCACTGCCTACCCAGCAACCATGCCGTAAGAGTCGACTAATTATGGGCTCCATTAGAAGTCGGCTACTGGATGCAAATTTGCCTAGAAAAACCACTGGCTGTTGCCAGGGGCCTTAATATAACCTAGCAGTTGAACGGGGTTTCCGGGACCTCTCCATGGGT